ATTACAAAATTCGAAAAACATTTGCTCATACAAAAACCAACATAACTTCGTATTGAATCTGTATATGTATTTTATCAATATATACAATTTAAGTTACATAAGTAGCAAAATTGATCTTTATATTATATAAATATTTATTTATTTTAGTATTATTTATTAAATTTTACTAAACTTACGATATGGCCATCCATTTGGATTGTGCGCACAGTCTGGCAACTCTGCAGTGCGGTTAATGCGCTACTGCTCTCTCCCTGGCTTTCTTCACTCTCCGTCTCTCTTCAGCAGTCCACATTCGAACGTACGAAAGAACAAACGAGCAGAAGGTTTTTGTGCTGGAATTTAATTTGTTAGAGAAAGAAAAAACAATAATAGAGTTTTGCTTTCATTCCAAACAAAATAAAGTGGATAAAAACTAGATAACCGGTCGTACGTATGGTGTTTAAAATAACTGTGCCAGCCTAAATTAAACGAAAAAAGATATTGTGTGTGCTGCGCTGGGCGTGCGAGGCGCAGCAGAAACAATTTTTTGTGGTTGGTTGCGTAAAAGGTAAATTGCCAAATCAAGCGTAAAAGTGTAGATATATACAATTGTGATTAATTTATAATATGTGAATGTGCGTAAACATGCTAATCCTTTGTACGATTGTCTAGCAGACAGCGGCACATTTCAATTGAAGTTATAATTTCGTATTCGTTTGTGATGTGTGTGCAGCGCATACATATTTTTTGTCTCATCGTCGCCATTTTTAATCAGTCGTTTTTCGCTGACGTGTGTGCTCTAGAGCCGTCTCGCTCGCACACTCTGCATTATTGGCGTCGACAGTGTTGTAAAACTGAGACCATTGTGCATTTTATTTAAAAAATTTTCGCAGAATTTTTCTGTGAATAAAATAATAAATATTTAATTTATTCTGTGTTAATAGTGACTTGATCACATAATGGAAGACCTCACTAAAAACATAATATTCACAAACGCCATCAACGGCCAACCGGCGACCATACAATACCAAACAGCAGACGGCACCATCCTCAAACAACCCAAAATAGAGGGCCAAAAGGCCGACCAACATCCCACCTTCTACTATACAACAAACGTGAGTGTGCAACGTTGCTCGTTCACTGATATTGATAAACAAATCATTAAACCCATTTCGTTTTGTTTTCGTTTACAGGGCAATGGCGGCACTGTAAACTTAGCACAGTTGGCAACCACGGACGACAATAAGACGTGCTACATTGCACAGCCAGTGGGCGGCTACAACTACGCCTTGGTGAATGGAATGCCTCTGAATCAGGGAACAGCTCTGGGAATAGCCACTGTGGATGCACAGGGACGCATACAGATTGTCAATCAAAATAAGCCCATTGCGGCGGTAAGCTCTCTCGCTCAAAGCGGTTTTTAGGGCAACCAAATTATGAAGGAAATTGATAGCATGGCATAAGTCTATAAATGTTTGCTTAGATACAAGTGTTTTGGCTTGCGATGTTAAGCTCAATTATTTAAATTACTCCTAATATATATGCCTCAGGCATAACTAATTTGAAGCACATTTCATAAGATACAACAGACACTTACAAGTGAAATAGCAGCAAAAGTCTTGATCCATAATATATTCGAGCGATTCTCGATTTTAGAAAGTAGAACAACTTTTAAATGACTTTCATTAACATACTTTTAATTTTTACAAATTAAGAAAACTATGAAATGAAAAGTTTTTATCAGTTCTGCATATTTGCTAAGTAAATACGTGTCTCAGCTTCAACTACTTAAATGCGATGAGTTATTTATTACTGAAATTCAAAAAGCAAATATATAAATTGTAAAGACGCCGCCTACTTTAAGACATTAAACTAGTTAAATCCTAAAACGCTTACGCTTGATTGCATATTCAAAAACATTTTAGGCAGCAAATTTTGTAAATTTTTAAAAGCCGCAGACAGGGAATATTTTGAATGACCAAAAGATTTAGCAATTCTTTAGCACAAACCTCATCGTGATTCGTTGGCCCAAGTTTTAATATGCTTTTGTTTTCCACTACAGACGATTTCACCGCTCCAAAACACAATATCGAACATCAGCTTCAAGTGTGATGTTTGCTCGGAGATGTTTCAACATTTGGCACTGCTCAATGCACACAAGCGAATGCATACCGACGGATCAGATCCGCAACAACACAACAACCAGCAGTCGTCAGATGCCATAACGGTAGTTAATGCACAGGGTTTGGTGCAAACGCAGAACATTCTCACCGGCAATGGGCAGATGGGCCAAATACAAATTGTAGCTTCCGATACACTGGAACCAGTGCAGCAATCTGTTATGCAGCAGCAACAACAGCAACAGCAAGCGTCGCAACAACAACAGCAGCAGCAGCACGATAACTCCAAGTCGAGCAAATGCATCAACTGCGGAAACCCCATACTACACCAGTCAAAGCGTAAAGGTCCCAAACAGGTGCGCTGCGAATCCTGCATGCAAGCGGAACAAGCTGCGCAACAGCAACAAATATTTGTAGCCCCTGATGGTAAGTAATCGCTACCTAAATTTTCATCTACTTTTATTGAGCAAATCCTTTTTTTTTTTGATAGGTCAAATGACGCATCCTGTGCAAATCATATCAACTACACCACAGGCTCAGGCTCAGCTTCAACAGATTGTCGCCCAGCAAACGGGCGGCACAACGCCAAAACGTGAACCTAGTTCGTCGGGTCATCATCCGGTGAAGAAACGCAACAGCCAACAAATGACCAAGTGTCAAAAATGCAATGGATCCGGCGTAGTGCTAATGGGCCAACAGCACACACACCACCATACGGGCGCCGGTGGCTCTGTAAAGCAAAATACAGTCACCGTAAAGACAGAGTGAGTATTCTTAGAAAACGTAATACAGAACTTCTTATTAAGCTATTGCTCCTTATCCAATTACAGAAATCCCAGTAAACCGTTCAGCTGCAACATTTGCGGTGGGCTCTTTTCACGCTACTCCAGTCTGTGGTCACATAAGAAACTGCACAGTGGTGAAAAGAATTACAAGTGCACCATCTGTGGATTGGCTTTTGCTAAGGCTGTCTACTTAAAGAACCATGCGCGTATACATACTGGTGAAAAGCCGTACAAGTAGGTGGCTAGTGTATTTCAGGGCTGCACCTTTCTTAACGACACATCTTGCTTTTACAGATGTCAAACGTGTGGCATGCAATTCTCGCAATCGCCGCATCTCAAGAATCACGAGCGTACGCACAGCGGTGAGCGCCCGTATGTTTGTGGAGTGTGCGATAAGGGCTTTGCGCGCCATGCCACGCTGTGGAATCATCGCCGCATTCACACAGGTGAAAAGCCGTACAAATGCGAAATATGCGGTTCCGCATTCTCACAGGCGGCACATTTGAAGAATCATGCTAAGGTGCACTCAGGTGAAAAACCATATAAATGTGAAATATGCTCGGCAGCGTTTGCTGATCGCTTTGCTCTGAAACGCCATCGTGGCATACATCAGAAGTATGGACAAACTGCGCCTAGGCAGCCAGCCGGTGATGGTATGGTTGTCCACAAGCAAGAACTGCCTGACATGGATGACGATGCACAACAGGAGGTTATAATCGGTGGCTTATAGATAAGAGCAACCAGTGCCAATGCCAAGGCGAACAGTACAGCAACGACTACGGCAACGGCTGCAGCCTATCAATCGGGCTCGGGATCCGGATCGGGAACATTTCCAACTCAGCCCTATCCAGGCTACTATTATCAGATGCCTGCGACACAGGAACAACAACGGCGCGCAGATCAGTCACCACAACACGGCGCCGCCTTCAGTTCTGCATCAAACTACTGAGCTGGCGCCTGTATATAAAGGAGGCAGAGGAGCATCGTCATCATCACCATTACCAGCTAGGCACCATTAATGTTATACATATTATTATTATTTTTTTTATACCGTAGTTTTTCAAGTAGGGCTCTTAAAAATTGGGCTTGGGGCGCTCGAAAGAGTGCCGCCAAAAAACGCTTTTTTACGTTAAACAAACGAAACGAATCGAACCTAATTTATTCATAGAATGTAACATAGATACGGCGCAATGTGTGGTACATTTAAGTGTTATAGTCTATTTCCGTATACAAATTGTAGCTGTAATTTACACGGATTTATATAAGCGAGGGGGCACGATAGCCACATTAAAAGCAAATACGTAAGAATCTACGCAGGCATGTACTATATACATAATATACAAATCCGTACAATCGGTAAATGTATATACATATGGATAGTACATTAATTCGTTTAAAAACAATACTAGCTGCTAAGAACATAAACATACATTTTAAATACAATTTATGTAAATCTAAATAAGTATTACACAACAAAACAATTATAACTTTAATAAATAAATCATATTTGAATAAATGCAGATGTGTTTCTTTACTTATGGCTGCAGTCGAAAGGTAAGCAAAATGGTATAAAATTGAGAATATTTCAGAAAACATTTGGCCAATAGTTTGACATCATCTCAACCATTCAACCTTAGGGTTACCAAGGGCTTTCTTCTGGTTTCAAAATTGAATTGAATTAAGTGACCAGGGATGGAACGTCGAGCCCCATAGAAGTGAAAAATTAAGGAGTTGCAATCACACACTGTAGGCTTAATATCAATAAATAAGTAAATATATATATGTAATAATCATTATTTAATTTTATTAATGTTGAATGCATTTTATTTATTGTTTTTCAAGTCCTTCTTACAAGTACTAAACAACTTACAGTTTTCATTATATATTTTTCAGAGCTAATGATGTTTGTTGTACGAGTTTGGAGAAATGTGATCATTCAAGCGCGTTTACTCGTTTCATTCTTTTAATGTATGTGTTCATGTATGTATGTATGTAAATATGTATTGTATTATTTACACAAAAATGTATAAATTGTAGTGTCTGTTAAGCAATTTGAACTAGCAAAAGGATACGGGAGAGAATTATCGATCTAAATATTTATTTTAGCTAAAAGCGAATTTCAAAATTGATTATTGGGCATTATTATTATTATCTTTTGATTCTCAACTCTAGTATTTAGTAGACAAATTTAACTAATAGGTACATTTAAGCTAACCTAGACTCGCACTTGACTTACACATAAATTAAAAACCTAATTTAAAAGGCTACAAAATGTTACGTTTCGGATGGGCAGAACAAATTCAACAAACTTTAAATAAGGCCATAAGCATATCATTTGCCATTTGTTACGTTTAACACATAGAAGAAGATATATAGGATAAGTTATATATGTATGTATAAAGGATGCACGTAAATACTTGGTGGTAGTATTTGTAGTTTGTTTGTAATATGTTTTCTCTATGATTTGTCTGTGTGACATTGCATTATAAAAAGTGAGGTTATGCATCGAGTTGCGCCGCAGCTTATATAGGAAATAGTTCTGTGTGTGTTCTATTTTGTACCCAAAAAAATGTATTTAACTTATTTGTGGGCTCTTATGCTAGACTGTTGTTGGTTGCTTCAGTTATTATTATTGTATAATATGTATAATCAATCATCAGAGTTTTTAGTTTATGTGTCAATGTTTGGAAGCTGCAGGATACAATAGAAGAACCTAGGGTATTTGCAGTGCGGCAATCCCCTGTGGAACCACACTGTACCTACCCTGGCTCGCAGCTATATAGCGTTTAGCTTTTGCATGTGACTCTTGCAAATGCAAATGCTGCCACCTCTAAGCTCAGAGATATATGATAGTAAAGCTTGACTTATTACCGTTAGTGTTAAAAGTTATAGCAATTTGCTTTAGTTGGAGTATTTGTTGCCGGAACTGCCCCAAAATGATAGTTTTTAGATAGTTTCGAGACTTTTTTTGTTGGCAAATTCTGCCTAGATAAGTGATAATTTGATAAGAGTTCTTGGTGTGCCAGACAACGAGTGTGTGTGTGTGTGTGTGTTTTGTTTTCTTTGGGAGTTGAGGGCACTACTGTTACACGACTGCCACGCCCACTAGCTAATTGAAATAACAGAACAGTCGACTAACTAACATGAGTATTTAGAGTAGATAGAGAACGATAGAAGAAGCGACTTGTTAGAGACTTAAGAGCTAATCAAAGAGCAAGTTCTGGAAGCGATCGAGAGTTGTGGCTGCTCACATGCGCGTGCTCTCCAGGCCACAGCCAAGGGCATCGCCGTAGGCGTGCATGGTGTGCGGAGGCGTGGCACTGCCGCTGCTGCCATCGCTGCGCCTCTGTCTGCTGCTGCTGCGGTTGCTGCCCGCCTTCAATCAACTCGCTGGGGTGGTGCGCGTCAACAGCTCATCATCGTCCAGTTGGGCGAGGGCAGCCGGTGAGCCGACATCGATGGTCGTGACCCGATTGCCGCCGCCGTCCGCCGCCGATGGCAGCTTGATGAACTCGCTGTCCGTGTGCACGGGCATGATGATGCACACGAAGCTCTGGCCCGTCTGCGAGTCACGCGGATGCAGCGTCACCGGATTGAACTTGTCCGTTTGGCCCTCCGTGTAGGTCTGCAGGCGCTGATAGATCTCTGGGTAGTGCTTGCGCAGCAGCACTCCACGGCGCGACAAAATGTCCAATATGTTGGACAGTATGAGCTCCCGATTGCCGGGCACGGTGCGCAGGCCCGGATTGAAGGTGAGTATGAGTATCTCGGTGCGCTCCGGCACGGCCATAACAGCGAGTGGTTGCTGAAGCGCCTGCTGCTGCAGCTCCAGTTCGGCCAACACGTTCTTGCACAGCTTCAGTTTGGCGCAACGCGAGACCAGCTGGCGCTCCCAGCGCACTGGTGCCTGACCCATGCCAGGTGCCTCGGAGACCACGCAAATGGCCACGTAGATCAGCATCTTGGACTCGGGCTTGTATTCGGTGCTGAGCTTCAGCAGTTCCGAGTAGAGCTCCAGACCCATTTCGGCTGGCATTAGGTCTGGCCAGCGTACATAGGATGCCTCGCCCATGCACTGAAATCCGTGCTTGATGAAGCCCTCGGCCGCCTCGGCACTGCGGAAGAGCACACGCACCACGCCACGCCCCTGCGAGATGCTGCCCTTGCGAGCGAGCAGGCTGAGATGACGCTGTGAGTCGACGTCGTCCTTGCACGTGGCTAGCACCTGCCGGCACAAATTGGAGGCGCGCGAGTGCAGGCACGCCTTGCGATGCTTCTCCCAGTGGGCGCGCCGACACTCACGTGAACAATATAGATGGGTACAATTGTGGCATGACTTGTACAGCTTCTTGGCATCGGCGGGCGTGGCGCTGGCATCGCACTTGGTGTTGCGGCATCTGATCTGCAGCTGCTCGCTGGCGGCCCCAAAGATGCTGCCATTGTTGATGATGCCGCCGCTGTTGCCTTTGTCCGACGCGTGGGCGTGGGCGTTGGAGTCGCCCAGCGATACGCGCCGATTGCTGGCATTGCCTTGGCCTTGGCTCTGTGACTGAGATAGAGAGTGGGATTGGGATTGGGATTGGGAGTGGGTCTGGCTGTGTGTTTGGTGTGCTTGTGTCTGGCTTTGATTTTGTGACTTCTGCTTTTGGGTGGGCGCGTCACCCTCGCTGCGACGGCGCAGCAGCTGCTGCTCCGCTGCCGTTAGCACCTCCAGCTGATGACCACGACTAGCTGTATCTGCTGTGGAATATATACATAGAGATACATATATAGAGGCGTTTGGCTGGTTAGTTGGCAAGCGTATAACAGTATAACAGTATAACAGTACATAACAATATAACAACAACAATGAGCATTCAATGGAGCAGGTCTCCGCTAGTCTGAGATAGGGCACTCGCATGCTGGGCAGTTATGAGGAGAGAAGTGTTTGAGTGTTGCAAAACGACGCAAGCGCAGCGAAACTCGTTCTTATTATATATGTATGTCATGTATTTTTCTCAGTGTAATTTGGCTAGAAAATAAGAATCGAAAGTAAAAATGTCTCTAAGCTAGAACTAGATATGCGCTTGATGGTTGGGTATGAAGAGTATTTCAACAGAACTACGAAAAACGTTAGGAATTGAAAGAGTTAAAAGAAAAAGGAACAAAACGAAAATATATTCAGCACTGAGTTATAGATCTTCAGTTATATATGTATATATATAGTTAATAGGTAGTTATATAGGAGTATATATAGAGCTCTATATGCGAACAACAAACAAGAACGGAAGTTTCGTTTTTGCCTATACCCATTTTAGCTTCACATTTTAAATTCTTTTCATAAATCACATATTTTTGTTGTTATTTTTTTAGTTTTTTCTTTTTTTTTACTTTTTTTTGGGTAGCGGTTATATTGGAACAAAACTTACAGGTTCATACCTGTCGTCGAGGACCCTGCAATGGTCGCCGCTGTCGCTTGGTTTCTGTTGCTGCCGTTGTTGTTGTTGTGGTTGCTGTTGGTGTTCTGGCTGTTGGAGGAGGAGGTAGTTGGCAGTCCTAAAAGTGAGGCTAAGACATCTTCTAGCGATGCGCTGCTCAACGAGCGTTCAGGCGCTACAGATGCAATTTTTGTTTTTCAATTGCAATTTTATTGTTTTTTTTTTTTTTTAATGGGGCCAAATTTTGTATAAATATGTAATTTTTTTCAGTTTTTTTTGTAATTAATGCACGGCATAAAATATAAGAATACAAAAACAAATTGTTGTTAGGCTTGAAAAAATATATAGCGCATTAAATGTTCTTACAACTAAATGGGGGTATTACATATGACATGAAATGCAAAACAAGAAAAAAGAATTACACTGAGAAAATGTTTTATGTACAAGCCAAAGTGAGTATTATGCACAGAGTTGGGGTGCTACGGCAACAGCTAAAAGAAAAACAAAGATCCAAAAAATCATTTCACAAACTACAAAATCATAAATTTGTCATTTTTTTGTTTTGTTTTTTGAATAAAATATTGTTCAGTTTTTATTGTAGCCACCATGAGCGAGGGCTAGGCCCGCTTTGTCGACGTATATAAAGCACTTCGATATCGATATATAATAATAATTTTTACACAAATTATATAGCATTAAAGTATGTGGTGATCGAAATAAAAATCTCTTCGAATCGTTCGTTGCTTTTAAATGATAATACATTTCTATATATATATATAAAAAGAAATTAAAATTTATAGCACGCTATATTGTTATTGTTATTGTTTTAGTTTTTTTTGTGGGGGATGTTGTTAGGGACGTGAATTTTTCTAATTTTAAAAACCGAGCCTAAAATTGAAAATCCAAAAAGGGAACTAAAACTGATCGAGAACTTTGAGCGGATTCGAATTTGTGAATTATGCCAATGGGAATCATAGCAAACTTATGCGCAGATAAGTAGGCTATGACGACATGAGCTGCATAGAAACTAGATGGTGACGGGGAGGGACGAGTACAGTAATAATCATATAATCATATAACATTAATAGTAATAATCATAATTATATAATGCACATTATAATGATAATAATATAATAATAATACAATTATAAATAAATTGTATGCCATAGCTGTGTTTATTAAGAATTAATCATAAAATTAAATAGTAAATTTATTAAAATATAATTGTTGTAAACACTAAAAAAGTTGTCAATTTAAAATGAATGCGTCTCAGCTATTTAAAATGTGTGTGAGTTGGTGTGTGTGTGTTTGCTCTTCGTAATTTACAATCGTTGAAATGAAACTTAAAATGCATTTGCACCTGCGCACGCTAGTGGATAAAATTGATTTTCTTTTACGATTTCCAACAAATTATAAACAAATGTAGAAAATTTGCAATTCAAGCTACATCTCTATATGTGTCTGTGTGTGTGTGTGTGTGTGTGAGAGCTTTAGCTACAATATACTAAACAAATGTACGCTTAGCTACCATGTACATAGATGTATGTATGAGTCTATCTAGATGTGCATACATATGCGTATATGTATTTGGGCATCTCTCATTGGTGTTGCTTGTGCACATAACAAGAGGACTTTGTGATAGCCTATTGCTTTTGTTGTTGTTCAAAGAAAACAAATGAAATATATGTAGTGGGTAGGTATACTAAGAAGGTAAGCTCTAAGCACGCCAGCTGTGGCACGACAGCAGCTAGGTCTGCTGGTCAAATAAAAATGGTGGACTCACCGCCACCGCCGCCGACTCGGCTAAGTCCGTTCATGCGTAGTGGCGGCTGTCCAATGGCAACCACCGTTGTGGCATCCAACTGGAGCTGATGGAGATGATGGTGCTGCTGCTGTGGCTGCTCTAGCTGATGTTGGGTTGCGGGCGGGCTGCTGCTGCTGTCGATGACGGGCGTTTGCGGTGAATCCAGCGGACGTGTGCCAACAAAGCTGCTCTCCAGCCAGCACTTTCTGCGAATTGTTAAGCCAAGAATTAGTTATGTATTTCAAATATGCTCGATGCAAGTCACAAATAAAGAACAACAAGAAGAACAAACACCAGGCTAGTAAAATCAATAAGTGACGTCACAGCAGCTGTGACTCAACTTGTGGCAGTGGCAGAGTGGCACTTTGGCAGCTGCTGCCGTTGCTGCTGCTGCACAAACGTCGAGCCCTAACCTCAGACAATGCTTTGCATATTGTGGCCTATTACTAACTGCGGGCTTCACTTTCAGCCAGTTTATTTTGCCACCGATAATTACAGTTGTAACTTGTGCTCACTCACTTATTTGACTCCTTTTCAATTTTGACTTTTCTCTATTTATTTATTTGTTGTGCGCTCGTTCGAGTAGCGACTGGCAGCAAACCTCGCACACGAATAAAATGCCGTTGGATGTGAACATACAGAAATACCAAAGCCAAATTGTGGGATCGAGAGCATAAAAGAGGTGGCTATGCCACTTTGGGGGTTGGGGTTGCTGTCATCTGACTGTGTATGTGTGTGCGTGTGACTGTGTCACTGTGCGAGCAACAGAGATGGAGCGAATTCATGTTGGCTGCTGTGGAGGGTTGCTGCGGCGCTTGGCTGAATTGGGCAGAAGACGGGCGCCGCTCTGGCGGCCTGATTACAGACAACAACAAAATAACCAAAAACGACTTTTGCAACTAGAACACTCAGATGCTCTAACCGGAAATGGAATTGTTTCTCTTTATACATGATACAATATATGAATAGAATATATATAAATATATAGAATAAATATAAATAATAAAAAAATATATATAAAGAATATATAGAATATGATATGTAATCATATATGGTTTCTATATAGATATACGATATTGCTTCATCTGTTCCATGATATTTTCAGAAATTTCCTTTCTATTTTTTTGATTAAAAATTTTAACTACAAATATTTTAGCAATATTTTAAGAAACATCATAAATAAATAATTTATAATAATTATAGTAATATAAATTTATTTAATTTAAATATTTTAAGAATTTAAAAAAGGTAAAACCAAATTTATGAAAAATTCGTTACAATTTTTTCCATAAAATTTTTAACAAAGTTTTTTATGCAAACAAAAAGCAGAAAATTAATTTGTAATAAATAATTTGTAAATAAAGCAAATACTCTAGAAATATTTTTAAAATTGTGAACTTTGTAGATTTTTTCAATAATATAAACAAAATCAATGCGAATAATATTTGCTTTTCAAAGAAGATAACCCAAAAAATCTAGCCAAATAAACTAAAAAGAAAAACTTTCAAAGAAACTGGAATTCTTGTAGTAAAAAAAATATAAATTTATATATTATAAAGTAAATGAACACAGTATCTAAAAGACCATAAAATAGATTTTAGCTATAGAGTAAATTAACACAAATATTTGAATATTTTTTCGTTACGAAAGTTGATTTTAAATTCAAAAATTCTTCACACTTTTGGAATATTTTCAACAGAGTATTGAATAAGCTTACTGGCCCTACTGGCTCTATAAAGGCACCTCTAGAAATGTAGCACCATGTCGGTGAGCTGCTCTACTTTAATATTATTGATTTTCATAATGATTGGCAGCTGGCCGCAGAGGGCCAAGTGGGCTCCACTTGAAACGTGGACAAGTGGCACAGGTATTGGGACTGGCCGTTGGGCCTGGAGCTGGGCAGGATGTGTGTGCACACATATGCACATAGATAGATATATATATATATATATGTATATATGTATGTATGCATGGGTAGCTTGTCCTACGGCAGACAGGGCCCGACATTTGCATTGTTGACATTTAAATTGCATGCGGCGCTTGGGGCGAGGCCTTTTCTCGTTGCCAGATTGAACCTTATTAATAGCCCCGGGACAGTTTGCACTGACATCGCAGCAACGACTGTCAGATTCAACATGAAAGCGAAATGGAATCAATTTCGATTTGAATGGCTCCACGCCATTGTGCAAATATTGATGGAGGAGAAATCTCACACGATTTACATTGATGAAAGTAAATGATTCCAATTCTGATTGCCACAATGCTCAGCAGCAGATTGAATGCGTCAGCCGCAGCAACAACAACAATAATAATCATAACAATAATAGAGATTCACTATGATATCACATCGCAGGTTACGTAATATTCCCCTGGAGGCCAAAACCAAGTAGAATTATGTCAAAGTTTTAAATGCTTTGCGAAAGTTTTACAAGTAAGAAATATTCAGAGGAGTGGAAGGAGGAGAGTTTGGGTGACAAAGTTAGGATTGCTAAATACAATTTTGAGTGTAAACTCGACAAAATTTATCGCTTAATTTGAGAAGAAACTTTTCAAAATTGAATTGCGATTGATTGATAATTTGGAATAAAGTTACAGCTTTAGCTAAAGATTATTGAAACTGGAAGATTATTTCTTAAGTTCGATTTGGAAATTTAAATACTTCTTTTAGCTAAACTTAAAAGCATTTGTAAAATATTAGCTTTATATATTGCACAGCATATAACTTGTCTTTTGCTTTAGGAATTTCATAATTTTTAAAGCTAACATTTGAGACGGATTTATCTTTCTGAAGAGCAAACAAGCTCTCTAGCAAATTTTTGACCAACAATATCATTAATAAATCACTTTATCTAATGGAAATATAATATAAAATAAATTTGTTTATAGAAATCTCTTAGTTAATCTAAAAATATATTCATTAAATTGTTTTATGCCATTTTCATTTTCAAACCGTTTTAATATTTGATTTGATTTCAAATTTGCGTGGCGCCATCTATTGGCACAAACTCTCACTATACATGCTTAGTCTACAAATCAAATAATTTGTAAATTAAAATAAAAATCTTACTCTCTTTACAAGGCAGTTTGCATACTTTGAAATATGAATATTATCAATACAATATTCCCTTTCCTAACACAGAGAAAAGCCTTTTGCATAATCAACTGCTTATGGCTACAGAGTAGACATCTTCCCATTGACCTGACCCAGTTCTGAGCTAGAGCTGGCAAAAATCCAATCACTTTTTGTCTGTCAAAGTTTTTCTTTTCTAGGTGAAAGTTGTTTAGTGTTTGTTTAGTGTTTTAGTAGAAGCCAGCGCAGATATAAATACATATATATATCTTTTTAGAGTAAGTAACACATATAGATAGGCGCTAGGATTAGTCACAGGTTAGCCACATGAAGGACGCTGAGACGATGAGGATGACATAGCCCATAGGTTGGCTCGGGGCCTGCTTACCTCTGGACATCGTCGAGCTCGTGGCAGTCAGCTAAACTCTAAACTCTACTGACTCGAGTGCTGCAGTTGGTGCTGGTTGTGGACTGTTTTACAGGTAGCTACGCGTGTTGTGTAGTTGCCGAATAGAAATGAAAGTTTTCAGTACGAATGAAGTGGTAGGAAATAATGATGAATGGATTCGTGTATGTGGTAGATACAGAGATGAACTGAATTTTATAGAAGTTGATCAAATAGTTGGTAATAACAGCTACACACAAACTGTGTTGGGCTTGGGTATGGCAGAAGGTGTAGGCGACTACTACGACAACTCGAACACTCATTATACACAAGTGCGTTTCATATAGATTGGCTGCAACGGTTTGTTCGTTTTTTTTTTTGCTCATTGCCGATCCGCTGCCTACCTCGAATTGGGACTCGTCGAACGGCTGCGCTGCTGCTGTTGCTGCAAGTGTTGCGCCTGCGTCTGATCGTTCACATAGTGCACAATGGCCGAGGTGACCTCCTTGATAGAGCTCTGTATCTCCGGCGTCACTGGCTGCAGCGTTCGCATGCCATTCGTGGCCGTAGCCGTAGCACTTGTTGGCGATGTGCGTTGCGCTAGCAGCGAGTTGGCCAGGCTAAAATAACACAAGTTTAGGCTGATTTGCTTCGATAATTGAAATTCATTTAACGACTTACCGTTCGTGGGGCGTGCGCTGGGACAGCTTCTCTGTGCTGCGCCAGCCCAGGTAGGGCTGACGGTAGGAGTTCCGAAGGACACCGCCAGCGCTGCTGCCGCTGGCCACCGACATGAAGCTGCTATTGATGGGCGCGCCGCGGGCAAAGCTGCCGCGCTGCGAAACGCTCGGCGATGTCTGTGTGGAGTTCAGATGTGAGGTGGACCAACGTGTGGCGCCGACACCTTGACCATGTCCTTGAGGCGCCGACGCTGAGCCGCTGACATTGCTGGTCTGGCCGCCGTGATGACTGTGCGCCGAGGGACTCAACAGCAGGGGACTACGATCAGAGCGCTGAGAGCCCAGCGAACTGAGCGAAGTCGTCTTCGAGTTAAGGCCCTGCCAGCGACCCGAGTCCTGCGTACGCTTGCGCGTAAAGTTGCCCGGCTTATAGCCGCCACAGGACGCATTGCCGCCGGCATTGGCACCGGCGCCGGCGCCATCGGGCGACCTGGCTGCATTTTGATTGTATTGTCGGAACCAGTCGGGTATATTCAAACGCTGTAGCGACGCCTGCACACGCAGCTGGTGCTCGCTCAGTGCGGCCGGATTATGATCATGTGATTTCTGTAGCTCATTCTCGGGTGGCTGTTCAAGAAGGGAGAGGCAGAGCAAGAATAGGTTAAAATTTGATGCAAAATTATGAATTATTAAAACTAGTTCTTGGTTATACAAATTTAAATATAATAAATATAATAATTAATCTTCGCCTTCAACATAAAGAAACTAGTTTTTAAGCTCGTTGAAAAACTAGTTTTCAATTTATTTTGAAGATATGAGAACATAATACTACAACACTCCATAGAACTTGCTAAGATTTATAGATATTTGATATCAAGACATTCAAACAGGAATTACGCATCAAATCTGGTTTGAGCTTTGGCCTATCTATAAACCTTTTGGAAGCTATCAAATATTTAGCCCAGTTAGCATCTAATAAACTCAATTATTAAATTAAGAGTTGTTCCCGAATAATTTCACTCAAAGCTGAGCCACGGCAGACAAGAAGAGTTCATTACAAGAAGCTCGGCCAGATCAACAGGTTTCTGCTCATGTTGCGACTCTAGCCTCGTCTGGATGATTTATGGCGAGTGCATAAGAAGCGACACTTGAATGATATAATTTTGCCTTCTCGATGTGTGGGCAGCCTTTGCGAAAAGTTTTCGATAACTAAGAGCAAACTTTTGCATTTGCTTTTGTTTGTTTTTTCTTTATTTTTTTCGTCCATTGTGTCAGACCTGGCCTGGACTGGACTACGAGCAAGCCAGGCCAGCTGCTATCGAAAAGAAAAACAACAAAACTTTTGCTGCGACATTTCTAGGTTATCTGTGCTGGCGTGGGAGTTGGCAAATCTGATGATGATTGCCCAAGAGCCAAGGTGAGCAGCGCATTGGGTCAGCTCTGGAGCAGGCCTTGACGTGTCAAGTGAGAAAGTTATGAAACAGATTATACAATAAAGACATTTTCTCTTTCGTGTTCTTAACTTTTAACAGATTTGCAAATTTCGAAGATTATTGGGGCCAAGAAAGCATGGATTAAGGCTGTAATCTTTAGCCGCAGTCATATAAGTCTATGTGGTATCAAGACTTAATGTCACTTAACTTCTTGACCCTTGACCTAGTTATAAGTTTGCCAAAAATATGAACTTGCCTTTTTATTAAATTATTGTGTCAATAACGAGCACCCGCAATTTTTGCCTTGCTTTGAGGTTCTAATAAGCCTTAACAAGCTCTACTTTGATATTTGAATTGAGCTCCTCACACACACGCACACAGTTATCTGTCAAGTGCCCCAAAAGATTTCAAGAGCAGAGCAAAAACTTGAGTTTGGCATCCCAAGTGTAAACAATGCCCCAGCTAAGCTACTAACATTTTGCCTTGGCTGTAGCTAAGTGTAAAAGTGCACAGCCGCAGAGTGGGGCTAGACACAAAGAGCGCGCAAGGGGGAGAGGAAGAGACAGGGAGGGGCTGAGGCAGTGTTATTGTAAAACAAAAGGCAAACAAAACTTAATCACAGTCATCATACACGTATGCAGAAGGTACTTCAGCAGCAACAAAGAGAAAACGTCAGAGGACCAAGAGCAAAACGAGGAGCAGTTGCTGCCAAGTCGTCTGCTGCTGCTGCTGCTGCTGCTGCTGCTGTCACCAGTTGTTGCCGTGTGCAACGAGCGACAACATTTGACAATTGCCGTGCCGCTTGCCGCTTGCAGCGCCACAATTGAAGCGCCTGCTGAAAGTGGTGCAGTGGTGCAGCAGCAGCTGCTGCATATGTGGGTCATATTCTAAATGCCGGCAGCTGATTCGACGTCAACATGTCTACGACGCCTACGATATCTAAACATATATATATGTATATGCATATATTGTGTATATATAAAGTTATCGCACTCAATTACCTGATCGTATTGCAGCATGTTGTTGTTATAGTATGGTATATCGAATTTTTATATAGTTTTTGTGGCTGTTTGTTTTTAGCTTTTTGAATTTTGATAGCAAATACAATGCAATTGTTTTTTTTTTTTGTTTTAGAAATTTCATGAAAGTGACAAGCACACACACATGCACGCACACACACACACATATACACTCATTTATATATGTATATATGTGTATACGATAAAACTCAATTAGCACGCAGCCACACACAAGCAGAAAGGCAGCAAGTCAATAAAACATCCACATACATACGCAAGCTCCAACACACACACACACACACAGACTTTGGCAAAAGTGCAAGCTATAAAATAGGCACACCCCAAAAAAAATTATATATATCTCTATATAACGCGAAACTCTCTATGTAGCAAATCGCTTTCAAAATTTATTTTTATAACTTTTGCGCTTTGTTGATGAAATTTTTGGTTGAGCGCGCGCCTCGCAGCGCAGCCACGAGTTGACCTTAAAAAGTTGACAAGCAAAAAATAAAATAAAAGCAAAAACGAACTAGAAAATAATACTGTGGAACGCACGATATACCAACACACCCACACGCACACGCACACACACACACTCATATATATATATGTATATAATATATAGGGATACTATGGCGCAGCGCGCGCATCAATTCATATTTTATTGTCAAGGGAACACACAGAGCACTAAATGTATTCGAGAGTAGGGAAGCAGCACTTGCAGTACGTTGGGTAGGGATGTTTGCAAATGCGTTTTTTTTGGCACTTTTAGGACTTCATTGTATATATATACATATATGGCTGTGTGTGTGTGTGTAAGTCGCTTAGGCTAAATTAATTAATCAAATTTGGCTTTTACTTGAGCAAACATGGCGCGCGCGACATGCAACACCAAACAGAAACACACACACACTCGCACGCATATATATGTATATGCGCATACACGCACACGCACACACTACGCGCCGTTCGCCATTTCCGGCGCAGAAATGTATGCTACGCTTTTGAATTTGTGATAGATACTGAGTGGAGGCCAGGCAGAGGCCAAAGCCAAAGCCAAAATGAAAGCCACTGGCAGTTGTAACCGTTATTATGGCAGCTTTGGCGCATGACCAAAACAAAACAGACGCAACAGCGCTGAGCTTTTAGTTTTTATAGCACACAGGATGCAGGCACATAGAAATGCCTTATGTACGAGTCACCCTGTGCTTGTTCATAAACAAAACGAACAGCAACAGGCGGCAACTTAAACAGAACACACACTCGCACACACTCTCAAACGCACGCTTCGGCATTATTGTGGTTGATGCTCGGCTTTACCCTGGATAGCTGACAGCTGGCAGGGTGTCACTCGTTCGGCTATATTTAGACCAGGTTGCCAGCACTTGGTACACTTAAGCAGTCCACGCAAGCAGCAACTCTGTCGACAGCCCGTTGACAGGCCGTTAAATTGAAGTAGATTATCGAGATGATGCAGTCAGATGCTGCCAGTTGACAATCATGTCAGTAGGTCGTCCAGTAGGTAGTGTGAATAGTGTATTAACAAAGGGAAGCGCACAGTTCGTCAGACATTCATAAAATCAAGACAGAAACAATAGCAAAGGGGAATAAAGCAATGAGTTGTGGATTTAAGGTATGTGCATAAAATACGGTAATTAGAAGAAACCACAAGAACACGATACAGTGCTGTCTATTATAAATAAACATGTGTATAAACACTTTGAGGTTTTCCTTAAGTTTTTAAGCTTTAATACTTTGTCACTTTCATTTCTATATGATTCTAATAAACAGTAGACATTAGTGCTTTTAATAAATCATTAATTATAGCAGCTTAAAGTTAATTCCAACAACGTACTTATTATTTTAGCCTTAAGTGTTTTGCATCTCTTCATCTCTCTCCCCTCTTTCTTTCAATGGTAAATCTTATTTATATATACATATATTTAAGTACAAGCATAGGCGTTATTGATATTGCAGAATGTCATTTGACAATATAAAATATATACTATCTATATTATTAACGCCGGTTAAACTGAAAAACTTATGCTAATGCAATGCTTCCTCCTCTACTGGAAGCCCACTGCACTTGTCTCTTTCACACATCATTACCATCCACAATTATCACTCAATGCAGTTCACGCACTCAAGTAACGGGATCCGCCGCAGCAGAGCCAATGGAATGTGGGCAAGGAATATAATAAGCTCAGTGCTTACACTCTTTCGATTTGCATTGAGTATATTTACTCAACATGCAAATTGAATGATAATAATTGTGTTCTCTTATGGTCCACATTGCTTTTTGTGATAAGTACGTTAGGGGGGGAGTTTTATAAGTTACTGATATTATTGTCTTATCAATAACTATATAAATACTTAATTTATTTATAATACTTAATTTATTTATAAATTTGTTAATTTATAAATAATACAAAAATCAATATATTTAAAAATTTTTTTTGTTTAATTAAATTTTAATATCAATATGTTTTATAAACAAATTCTAGAATATATATTTATAATTTGTGTTTATCTTAGAAACTAAAGACTTAAACTAAAGGCACTTTAAACTGTGCCCATCACAAGGTCAAATAGCGCAAGGCTTTGTCCAGAAAACGCTCCTCAGCTGATCCCTGGCTGCAGGCAATGCCGCGTCTCGATTTTGACGACATTTGGTCATATTGATGCTTGATGGTGCTGTTCAGCAGGTGATCACAGCGATCGGCATGCTGCAAGGTGTCCGCAGAGGGCGACTTGGCATACTCCCGCTTGAGTACCATGCTAATGATGCGGGATCGTGTGGTTCTTGGTTTTGGCTTGCTGATGACCTGGGAGCGTGGTCGCAACGGGGGAGGCGTTGATCCACCATATATGCCCGATTCAGCGGAGTCGGAGTCAAGGCCAGTGTTGGAGACGCCACCACAACTGCAGTAGGTGACGCTGCTACGCGGCGACTGATCAGCGCTGCCGTAAGCCTCATCATCGCAGACATCATAGTCTGAGCTAGTTTTCTCGGGAACGGGCAGAGCTTCGCTGATGGCATAGGGTATGCACTTGGCCTCTAAGTACGTAAGTGGCTCGTCGACAGCCTCCTCGGCGCTGGGCGTGGGACTGACACAGCGTTCGTCTTCCAGCTCCGCGATGCGCTCCTCCAGCAGCTTTTGCATGCGGCGACTCTGACGTCGCTCATGACGCTCCCGTTCGATGCGTGCAATTGTCTCTAGGCTCTCAATGAACAGGCTCAGGTCACGCTGACCAAAGCGTGCCGCATCCAGGGTATACGTGGTGCTCATCGATCCACAGCTGCTGGGATCCATAAAGTTCACGAACTGGGTGCAAGTGTAGGTGGTGGCCATAGTGATTAATGTTTGGCAAATGCTTGAGTTGAGCTTCGCTTGGCAATGTGTTTGCTTTGGTGGCTGCTGTGCAACTGTTGTCACTGCTCAGCCGCGAGGATGCTTATATAGCGCACAGGTAGCTGATCCACACTGGCTGGCCTGTGGGCAGGGTCAGTCGATCCTCCCGTGTGCCCGACTAGGTGCACAGGTAGACGCGGTTAACCTTTACGCGCCGCCCCCTCCAACATTGTAAATCCCTAGTGCATTTTTCAAGCTAAGCGAAAGTACAGGTAATTAGGCCTGTGCCTGGGTAATTCCTTGATTGCTTTTTAATTTCGGCATTTCCCAAATGCCATCGGCCACAGTAGTGCACTCTGCACACGTGTTCGGCTAGAGCCCGGGGCTTTTATAGCCCCTCGCAATTGCATTTGACAGTTGGCACCTTTCGCAGGCATTTGCTGTAGACACCTGGTCGACATCTGTTTCGGCCATATATATATATATATATATATACATATATATATATATATACATATATATAAATATATATACATATATATATGCAGTGGCTATAACTAAACAGTTTGCGCTTAAGCTAAATCGATATTTCAGTTTGCAAAACAATTTGCTGTCTCGCCTTAAGTCGGCCAAGCGAAGCGTCGACAAATCAATAAAAATATTGCCGTGGCCTTCTTTTAATTGCATAATCATAATTGTATTACTGTAGATATGTCTATACCTTATGTACACGCTATAAAAGGAGAACTAATTGTGCCAACAAACTATTCAGCGCAATCTGACAAATGCCAAGGTCAACAATTCTCGTCTATTAATAAAGCTGACGCAGGCTTACATAAGTGCAAAGGCAACATTGAGGAACCAATTCAAATCATAAACAATTGATAAGATTACACAGCCTTATCATCGGTGCTCATGGGAAAGACAACATAATAAAAGTTCTTTAAAGAATTTACAACTTGCACGAGAACTTTGCCTAGAAGTTAGCATTTTAGTAATACGAAAGACTCTGGCCAAAGGTGTTCAAGGATCACAAATAATGCTGAGACTAAATCTGGTCAGAGTTTAAGATTTCACAATTCCAATTAATATATAGTAAATAAAATATAAGATAAGGTCAAAAAGTGAGAATTAATAGCGACTTGTAAGTTCTTCTAATTTGAATTTAAGTTAAGGAAATGGAAGAGCATTGGGAGAGGAAATATGTTTAAATATATTATGATAGGAGTTTATTTCATTAAGAAACAATAACATTTTATATGATACAACATCTTCAGCATCATACATGATCATCATATATTGATAAAATATTATAAGATCTCAAATACATCAATATATCGAGCGCTATTATGCAGAATTTATATTTCTTATTCTGTCTTTTATTTATTATTATTAAGTATATTAGGTATGTAAGTATAAGTATATTGTGGTACTTATTATAAATATAAAGAAGGTATTTAGTTCAATATACCTCTAAATTCGTTTTATAAAATTAATAATATAAAATAATAAATTCCTTGCACTAAAATCTCATTTTATAAAATGGCAGAAAACTTTAAATAATGAAATGATGCCTCAAAATATCTGTGAATATGCAAACAGATAGATTCTGCCTTTAAGCTGGCGTTAGGATTAAAGATAAGTACTTAAGTACCGCATTCCACTTGGGAGATGAACTCTAATCTCTGGCTTAAAAGTAACCTATAAAAATAAAAGTAGGTCTCAGGCACAGATGAAACCTGTAGCTTGGCTAAGGTGCTCAGCTCTGTCGCTGATAGAAAATAGTTATGATAATCAAATTAATAATAATTAATAATGGTATAAATATATCATTTATCATTCATTATTAACATGGCTCAAACAGCACACGAATTTGAGTCATTGAAACAGGTTTACATCCAGCAGCAAGCCTTAAGCCTGCCTCACTTAAGCAATAGATTAAGAAATCATATTGCTGTAAGATGTATAAAGAACAGAGAGAAGAGAAGCAACTGTAAGTTATGACAGCCTTAAAGCTAATTAACACAATTAAGCAGCAGCAATTACTGAATGTATTAACACGTATATAGTATAACACTTTGTCACTGTTTTTTATTAAATATGACTGAACTTATTTTTATATTAACTCTTAACTTGGTTGACTATGAAACTCGACAAGACTAACAACATTTATTGGGCATAAACAATGATTACTTGAGGGCCGAATAATCTGACCAAGCCAAGGGCGAGCTGAGAAAAGCGAATGACTTGGACTTGTCTAGACAACAGACGGGGAACAGAAAATTTCTTCTGTCGCCTCGTTGACTAATGAAACTCTTTTTCGACTTCTTTCGTTTTATGATTATGAGTATTAGCATATTTGAGACTACGTCTGCTGCCTGTTGCAAATCTGAGATGATTAAGTGTCTTTGTTTTGGCCTTACTGCTGGGCAAAGGGAAACGATGTATGCAGCTGGCAGCTGGCCGAAGTCGAAGCGAGATTCATTTTAAATGCACTTGAGAGATGCGAGCTGATGGACCACTTCTTGTGAAGCTGTTGCACAAAATCCACTGAACTTTCAATTAGGCACGTAGCGGCACAGCAAATGGATAAAGAGCGAAGCGTCAAGGCACTTAACCCATTGATGCCGCCGTCGCTTTAAATGAGCTGCAAATTGGTTTTGCTCTCTGTCGGTTTTTGGGCACTTAACAGCATTAATTAATTGTCTTAAATGAAGTGAAGCCGAACATGAAAGCATTCAGCGCTTTTATAAACAAACTTACGTGACAGGTGGTTGAATAAAACGAGTTTTGGATCTCTATATTCATACGTACCTGCAATAGACAGAGAGATGGAGAAAGCAAATTAGTTAAATTGTTTTATAGAATGCATCAACTGGGACTGCACCCAACGGGAAATATCAATTTACAAGAACATAAATGCCAATTGGCAAATGACAAGCCCAAGACGACTTGAGCTGTTGGGGGCGGATAGGGGTTTTGGGTCAAAGAACAGCACGGCAAGTGCCGACATACAGCGAGTCATGTTGTGCCTGGGGTGTGTTCGGATGTTTGTGCGATGGACAACAACAACAACAACAGCGACGACAAACCAAACTTCAATTGCTTCACATTTGTTAAAGACAAAAGGGCGAGACAGTGGCGTAGTCTTAAAGAGCACTTGGGTGTGCTTAAGGGAGCACATTTCATGTGCCTTTAAGACTCAATGTGTTAAAGTATTCATATAGATAAATCTTGATAGAACTCTGATATGACTTCAACAAACTGCTTTTATAGACAATAACAGATCTGTTGGCAGTTCCTAATGTTTGATATATTTCATGGTTTCATTTATAAATTGTCTACAAATTGAAAGCAGAAAACGGTTTGTTTTCAGTTCAAGAAAGTGAAATTTATTTGTATAGATTTTAATTTATGAATATTTCCTAAAATATATTTTCTGCATATATTTAGAGTTAGAAATTCGAAGGGAATCTTTTCAGATCTATGCGCTCAGTGATATTACAATTAGAAAATGTCTTAAGCTGCTTTCAAATGGGTCAACTTATATCACAAAAAGTTAAAACCTCTGTTAGGATACCAGATTTCATAATCTCAGCTTTAATTAATTCAAAGATTTGATAAATATTTTTAAAAATCTAATCACAATTTTTGTATTTCAATTTATTTTTTCTATAAATTTGTTGGGAATGTAGGAATGTAGGGATTAGTTCTGTTGTATTTATAGGGCTTAATCGAAGTCTAAGAACTTAGTTTTGATATTTGTAAAATTGCAAATTTTTCGAAGTAAACAAAGTTGGAGTTTTTCCATAAGCACTTGATTCTATTTCATATAAACTCGGCTCAACATAACCTAAGTAAACAATAAAATAAGTGTTTAAGTTATACTTATATTCAATACGAAATATAATGAAGCGAATACTAAAATTAGTACAAAATGTGTCAAGTTTCAAGCTACATTTCATATCTTTGCCCAAGCACTGGCTATGCCATCACTTCACCCAGTCAAGCATTGCATTCCCTGTCAATTCTTAAGAAGTGAAGACCTCGGCAGGGCATATCGGGAATTTCTGTTCAACTCAGTCGCGCTAATAGGGTCAAAATAATAAAGGCAAAAAAAAAAAATAAAAACAGAGGAAAAACGAATGAAAACAAAAGTCGGTTGCGTGCCGATCGTCAGCCAAGCGACTGCCTATTTATAGGGCCATTGTAATAACTCCATCAGAGGCAGAGGAAAATGATCCATGGACTGGCTGCCCGCCTTTATCTAGCGAACAGAGCCGCTGCTGCTGCTGCAGTTGGGCTACGCCAGCATAAACTTCAAACAGATGTCAAGCCGGCGGTCACGTAATTATTATTAATGTCTGCTGCTCCCTTCCAATTTCAGTTTCAATTCTACAAAACTCAAACTCAACCCAACCCAACCCAGCCCAATTTGCAGCCCAACAACTTTTTCCATGTGATCTCATCTAGCAAATATTCAAAGAGCTGTGCGTCTCTGTTTTACATTAAAAATTATTGCCACAGATTTGTTGTTGTTGTTTTTGTTTTATACTCTACACTTTTTTTTAAACGAGGCGTTTACTCGATTCCACGGGTTGTTGAACCGTTGGCCAACATGTGGGGCGGTCGGCGATTTGCTTTGCTTTGCGTTTTTCCTCCCAAGTGCGTTCTTTGCAAATGAATGGCGTGCTTTGATAAATGGCACATGGTGCCGTAGTCATACCACACACATACATATACATACGTAGCATAGATGTATGTACCCATACCCCTAGCTGGCCACTAGTTGCCTTATATGGCTTTCTTTCCACGCTAATTCATTGTCACAATTTGTCGCACCCAAGTTTCTTCCATTGATAAATTGCACTCGAAATACCCACACACTCGATCAGCACAGAGCATATCTTTGATAACGACGCTCGAATTGCAACAAGGGGGCGTTTAGCAATAATCACAAAAAATGACAAAAACAAAAATAAACAAGAGCTCGTAAATAAAATCATGAGAATTGCAACTTAATGCTGACAATTTTGATAAAACTTTAAATTGATGATGAGCGCAAATTGTGAAGGGCAGACCAAATAAGAGACGAAAAAAAAATATATATACATATATATTGGTAGATATGCGATATTGATTTGGCAAACATCCACTCATTCGTTTCCATTGATATATTAATACGTATCTATACAGCTTCCATTCAAGCTAAAAATATCAAATATCATCA